CAAACATTGTAACAAAAGCAGTGTATGCTTATGTTTTTATTTCTAAAGAAAGGTTCTTTAAAAAAAAGTATCAACACAGCTGTTCTTTAAGATGGGAAGGGTGATTAGTAAATTTGAGGAGGAATGGTCCTTTATCAATGGGTAGCATGGGACAGGTGGACACTGCTTCCTAGCCAAACTAAAAGATCCACAGCAGAGTTGCAGGAGCAGCAATATCTTGTTCACCAAGAAAACAGACGTGCTTAAGGCAATAGTCTATGAGTCTAAAAGAATAGAACCAAAAAAAATTAATGACAAAAAACTTTTAGGTATTTCTATTGTTTTATGTAAAGGCCTATTTTTTAAGGTTTTTTTTTTGTTGTTGTTGTTTGTTTTTAGTTGTAGATAGACTGCGTGCCTTTATTTGTTTACTTTTATGTAGTGCTAAGGATCAAACCCAGTGCCTCACACTTGTGAGGCAAGCACTCTGCCACTAATTTACAGCCCCATCCCAAAGCTTATTTTTAAATGTTTCTTAATCATCACATTATTACTTATGGAAGGAGAATATGTTTTGCTATTGTTCTTATTTTCTAGTCATGAGAAAATAGCAATAAACTATATTACCTATGTGTACAAAAACACAGTGTCTCCGGGCCAACGAGTTTACAATCCATTCCTGTTGGTGATCGCCAGCTCACAAATAACCTGTTCTGTAAGCGCATAGGTAAAACTTTCTTCTTGTATTCTTCATATTCTTCAGGAGTAAAAAGTTTCCCTCCATCGTCCTCACCAACAATTCTACAACAGAAAACATTGGTCTTATTACCCTTGAGAATGTTCTAGGTTACACATACTAAACTCTAAAACTATACTTGTATAGTTAAAGGAAAGGCTGCTTTGAGGTTTTTTTGTTTGTTTTGTTTTGTTTTGTTTTAGATACCTGTTAAGAACCCCATTACAAACAATGATAATAAAACTTTTGCTTCTGATGGCGTTCAGCCATGCTACCCCAAAACATGACTCCTTGGCATTTGAGGAAGCAGCAGAAGCTGGAAGGCCACTCTCACCTTCCCTGTGTTCTTCTTCCCTGCAGTAGGTCATACATCAGTCATTCCAGAGGTCCCCTCCCCATACCTGGAGGAAAAGCACATGCTGGAGGAGATACCCTGACAGGGAGAAGAATCTGACGAATAGGCCTTACTAAATGCTTCCCAATTTGTACCATTAGGACACACCCTTTTGTCCTTTGGTCATACTTCTCCAGGACTATCCACTCTTCATCAAATCTAAGCATAAAAACATACAAGATCTCCTGTTTCTTTGGGTCTTCACTTCTGAAGGCTCCATGTCATATAAACTGAAATAAATTGGCAAACTTCTCTCTTGTTAATATGTCTTTTATCATAGGTACCTCAGCCATGAACCTAGTGATGACTGAAGAAATCTTTTCTCTCCTGCTATTCCCTGCTAACAAAGGATTATAAATTAAAAGTCAATGATTTCACACCATCTGCCTTTACTGATTAAGGCATATCAATGGAATATTACTATATATTTATCTCAGTTTCTCCTGTTAATTCTGAGTCAGACAGGTTCGTTCTTCTCATTAAACTCGAGAGCCTAAGCTGCTGAAAATCTAATGTTTTTGTCTTTTTAAAGATAGAACCAACAATAACAAATCAATGAAGAAGCCAACCATGACTAATTCCATACCTGAACCCAAGCCGTGGCCAGGAGTTTAATTTTATGTAGGCTCTAAAAACCTGCTTGGATTTGCACAGGCTCATACTGACACCCGTGTATTGGACAATTAGGTGTTTCATTGCTTAATTTCAGATTCCAAAATATTATGGGAAAAATCAAGCCATCACTATTTCTAAGGGGAAAAAAATTTGTCTTTCTGGAGGAAAATAAGGTACAACTAAACAAAGGTCTTTAAAGAGGAAGACATTTCTCTATGAAAATGCCCTCTAACCTCTAAAAATCATAAAAAGTTTCATTTGTAAAATGCAACATAACTTTTTTAATGCAATACATACATTTTATCATACTTTGAAACTGTTAGCTGAGAATAAAAAAACAATTCATAAGTTATGAAATTCCTCAACTTCTTCCTTATTTAAGCAATTGAGATGTACTATAAAATATTTTTTTGTTATTGTTTTTTTTTTGTTTGTTTGTTTTGGCAGAACCCAGAGGGATTCTGCCACTGAGCTACATATCTAGCCCTTTTTATTTTATTTTGAGACCGCCTGTCTCTAAATTGCCCAGGCCACAAAGAATCTTTACATCCTTCAGCATAAGCCTCCCAATTTGCTGAGATTATTGGCATGTACCAACATCCCTGACCGAAGGACATTTTCTTTCTTTTTTTTTTTTTAATATTTATTTTTTAGTTTTTGGCGGACACAACATCTTTGTCTGTATGTGGTGCTGAGGATCGAATCCGGGCTGCACGCATGCCAGGCGAGCGCGCTACCACTTGAGCCACATCCCCAGCCCCAGGACATTTTTTTTCGAGAAAAACTGAGGGTCATTACACTTTATTATGGCTATCAAGAATATCTAAGGAGAACAGAAATATTTTTTAAAATTTTATTTTAGTAGTAGATGGATACAATACCTTTATTTTGTTTATTTTTATGTGGTGCCCAGATAGAACCCAGTGCCTCATGCATGCTCAGCAAGCCCTCTAGCACTGAGCCACAACCCCGGCCCACAGAAAGATCTTAAAATAAACCATGTTTTCCCTCAGGGTTGGAGATGAAATCATCGTCTCGCCCATGCTAAACAAGCACCCTAAATCTGAGCTACATTCCTGGCCCTTTTTTAAAATTTTGAGACAGGGTCTCACGAAATCGTCTAGGCTGGCCTGGAACTTGCTATAGGATTCCCATGACCAAGTGTAGATCTTTTAAGGAAGAGATTGTTTTTCAAGTTTTAAACCAGTGCCTCTCAAATTTTATTGTATTTCCAGATCCCAGGAGGTCTCATTCAAATGCAGATTCAAATTCTTAGATCTGGGGGTGGGCTTGAGATTCTGCTTTTCATCAAGTTCCCTGGTCGTATCTATATTACAGTTCTCAGCTTCAGGCACTTTGAGTAGCAAGGACTCTACACTTCCCCTCCCAACTGCCCCCCACCAAAACACGGAGGCATGACCAAATCAAGTTAAATTGAGGAAGAAAAGTTCATTTCTGATGGACACTCATCTTTTTGACCCTTCTCTCAGATTCCCTTTCATATCTAGGCACCCAAGTCCGGTTTTCCTGGCCTTTCTCAAATCCTGATGTTAAACAAGGGATCTGATACTCCCCTTTAAAGAGAAATGTTGAGTGCTATTTATGCTTGCAAAAATAATTTCCCACAGGCCTGCCCCTAGCACTTTCTGGGCAAGGGACAAGCGGAGGCCCACAATCCAAACATCTAAATACCTAAGTTGTGAGAAACAGAAAGTTCGGTGGTCCATTTTCAAAACTTACTCTTTAGCCCTTTTGAGATGTAAGATCCAATTGTAGCCATTTTAAGTACAGTCCTTCCCTTTGCCCACCCTGATTGTAAAATTAGCCAATCACGTAGATTATAACCCCAGGCTCCTCCTATCAGGACAAGCACAGCCTTAGGGATAAAAGCAGGTGGACTGCCCTCCCTGCTCCCAGTGTGCTTGCTGGAGATTTTCTTTGGTGGCATGCCCTTCTGTATTTCTAACATTAGTCAACACCAGGGCTCAGCAACTTGCTCCCAGGGAAAAAGCACAAAAACACGAAGGTTACCGGAGCCGGTTCTGCCCTGGGTAAGGGCTGAGTGTAGTTTCTATAACCTGCCTTACCCAGACCCACCTAAGAGGACATGGGGACTGATCCATCAAGTTCCCTCCACAATCTCACGATTCCAGCTCAGAATTTTCAGTCACTTCTAAACTAGCAGTCAGCTGAGAAACCCATCAGCCAGAGAACCCATCTGCCCGGGACCCATCCCCAGTCGTTGTTGTGCTCCCCACACCCTCGCCCGACCTTTAGAGTAACCAGCTTTAGGGAGAGTCGCCTTCTGCTTAGGTCTCCCAAGCCCAGCCAGGATTGTGTCACCTATCATCCGTACATGCAGAGCTCTCCCCTTCAACTTCTCATCCTTCTGCCAGTCCTCTCGGTATTCCCCATTCGTCTGTTTTCCAACTGTCAACATTTTTTGTTAGAAGATGGGGGAGGGGCGGAGGAGAGTTAAAAATCCTTCCATCCAAGTGCCTCAGCCTTTGTCAGAGCCTTGACAGTGAACCACATCCTCAAGCCAAAGGAGAGGCTGTTTCCTGTTTGGGATACAAGACTCCAAAGCCATCAAAACCACACCCGTTGGGGTGTTTTTGTCCAAAGGAGCACCTCTGGGTTGGGAGCATGTTCCAAGTTCACGACTTGCCCTAACGCTGGAATAACGTGCGAGCTCGGGGTCTGCTAACTGAGTGTGCTCAGTGTGGGATTCTCCAGGGGCCACATAGGAGTGGGGGAAACCACGGGGCTCTGCACGAATATAGTTAACATCCCTCTTGGAAGGGGAGGCAAACCCGCCGCGGCAGACCCCGATGGCTGCCTGGAACTCCGGGTCAGCATATTTAATTTCAGCAAGTTAATCTAGGCCTCCCTCAACAGCCTGGGAAGAGATTCCCCGATCCCCAGCGCTAGCCCGGCAGCAGGTCTCGGCCAGCGCCACCAGTCCCCCTCGGCAAGGGAGACCGAGCCGGGCCCGGCGCTCTCGCCCGGTAGAGAGGCGGGACGTGAGCCCCGAGCGGCCTCACCTGCGGTACTCCAGGTACTCGTCCACCGCCGCGGCGCCGAAGGGGGGCAACCTCAGCCGCTCCATGGCCGCGGGGAGGCTAAGACGCCTGCGCCACTCGCCCCGAGCTCGCCCTGCGCGCGCCAGCACACAGCCGAGCAGCCGGGGACAGCCCCGTGGATTGGCCCAGCCCGCAGATCCCCGTGGGCGGGCGCAGTGACCGCGCAGGAGGCGAGCGCTGCTACCTGGCCCCGCACAGGCAGAGGCACGTGAGCCCCTGTGCTGCAGCATGGCCCGGGCAGGGTGGGGGCAGTTTGCAGCCGGCCAAAGAGGATTCCCATCACCGCTCCCTTCTGCCCAGTGTCCTTGTGAGTAACAAGGGAGAACAATGCCTTGCATATCATGGATTCATGGGAAATAGCTCTTTTCACTTAATCCAAGTCTTGGAAATAAGCTATTTCCAGAAGGTCCTGGTGAGTTTGAAGCTGGCCTCACCTCAATAGCAGTGTTTTCAAAATTGACTTTCAACACTAATAAGGGGACTGAAGGTAACCAGTGGTAGAGCATGTGTTGGGCAAGCAGGAGGCCCTGGGTTCCATCTTCAGGACCACAAAAAATAATAATAAAATTTTTTAAAAAATGGATATAACATAGTCATGGGTATTTGAGTCTAGTTTGACAAGAAAACACGGTCCTCAAAAAAGTACACAATAAGTTTAAGGGAAAATAATTAAGCTTTTGATGGTTTATTTTTAAGGGTTTTTGTTGTTGTTGAGAAACCAGCCTCTACATCAAGAGCAAAGCCTGTGCAAGGAAGGGGGCGTGACCCTTGTCCTTGAAAAAACCCACAGAGCACTCCTAGGCACATACCCACCCTGCTGAGTTGTTTATCCACAAATAACAAGAGAGATCTTCTGTGCCAGGTGTCCCTGACTCAGTTAGGCTAGGTGGAGACCCATAGCAATCCCCTAGCAACCACCAATCAACATGAGACAGGGAAAATACCTGGGATGCCAAATGACCCTCCCAGTAGTTTATGGTGGTTGATAACATGTTGGGAAACCATGTAGTTCAGCACTACTCCCCTCTGGCTTAAACCAATCAGTTCAAACGAATCCCCCGTCTTGTATTAACCAATCACCCTTACCCAACTTGTTCCCGTCAGTGAATGTGCTAATCATGTTTTAGAGTTGTTTTATGATTTCCCCTTGGTGTGTGATGATTTGTTAAGAGATGCTATGATGTATGTGAAGTCCCTGCCTTCCCAAAAAAGTGTATAAAACTGCTGCAAACCCTGGCTCGGGGCCTCTCAGCATCACCAGTTGTTGTGTGCATGTAGGACCGAGCTAGCTCACAATAAACGCCTCTTTGCTGCTTATGTCGATCTCAGTCTCTGGTGGTCTTTTGGGGGTCCCGAACTCGAGCATAACATTATATTGTCAGGTTTTGATTTGTTTTACATTTTGTGGTGCTGGAAATGGGACCCAGGACTGTGGGAGACCAACCTTGCACGTGACTGGGTCACACTCCCCAGCTGGGTGCTGAGGCACTCAGTCACAAAAATGTGGCAGAGCTTTCCCACCCTTCTTGGGTTCCAGGGTCGGTGTCTAGTGCATGGGTGTGTCTTGCTCTACCTACACTCACCTGTTCCTTTGTAAAATAATCCCTTGCCCTGTTTAGGATAGAATCTTCCATGGAAGTGCCTTGTGTGTGTCCCCTTCTTTTACTGTGCCCTTGGGTGTGGCCTACCCAGGTGTCAGTCAACCTGCTGACAGTGGACATCATGAAGATAGACTCAGCCCCCTGAAACCTGACCCCTTGCCTCATTTGAATAGCTTCTCCTGAATAAACGGGGTCAGAGCATGTTCTTGCTCTCTCTCTTCCTTGGGACCCTTAAGGTCGGATGAGCCATCACAGCGACCCCAAAGAGAAAGGTACTTGTGTCTCTTGTGTGGTAATTTTGCGCAGTCCAGTCAGCTCAGTTCAACTGGAGTGACCCCTGAGTCTTTTAGTCTCAAGAACAGAAACCCAGCACAGGCCCTTGCACATGGTAGAGAAGAGTTCTGCCAGTGATATACTCGAATTCGGGACCCCCAAAAGACCACCAGAGACCAAGATCAATATAAGCAGCAAAGAGGTGTTTATTGTGAGCTAGCTTGGTCCTCCACCTTGCACACAGCAACTGATGATGCTGAGAGGCCCCGAGTCCAGGGTTTGCAGCAGTTTTATACACTCTTTGGGGAAGGCAGGGACTTCATATACACCATAGCATCTCTTAGCAAATCATCACACACTGCAGGAAAATCATAAAACAACTCTAAAATATGATTAGCATATTAAGTGGCCGGAAAGAATCTGGAAAGGATTATTGGTTAGTTCAAGGGGTTGACACACTTAAAATTGATTGGTTTAAACCGTGAGGATGGCGGATGTCACAAGGGGGTATGGATGTCACAAGGGGGTACGTGCCAAGCTGCAGGGCTTCTAGTTTACATATTTGTCACCACACCTAGGTGGGGGCCATCTGGAATTTCAGATATTTCAATATCTTGGCCTATCATAGGCAATCACCATCTGTGGCTTTTCGGAGAACTGTTTCCACAGAGCTTTTCTGTGGTATTTTCCTGACTTTAGGACTGCAGTAGGTCAGAGGTTAAATTTCAGAGCAAAATGATGTCTCAAGTAGAATGAGGTTGCTTAGGTCTTTCACCAGTGAACTACATTCCAAGCCCCAAGTTTTTTTTTTTGTTGTTTTTTGTTTTTTAATATTTTTATTAGTTGTTGATGAAAATTTTTATTTTATATATTGATTTGTATGTGGTGCTGAGAATCGAACCTAATGCCTCACATATGCTAGGCAAACGCTCTACCACTGAGCCATAATCCCAGCCCCAAGTTTTTTTAACCTTTGGAAATACTTCCCCTAAATTTGCCTGAATTTGAATTACCATGCCAAAGGGGTAGGAAATCCATTACTACTCTGGAGGGAGGAACACTTAAACTCTGAAGCTCCCCAGGGATCCACTATAGTACCCACTGTAAATTAAAGGCATAACTCTTTTTATTGCCCATCACTTTATTGTGCTTTTCAGAAGTCATTGGTTTTCTGGTTTTGTTTTTACAAATTGAAGGTCTGTGGCAACCCAACATCAAATCAGTCTATCACAACCATTTTTCCAATAGCATGTGCTAACTTGATATCTCTGTCACATTTTGGTAATTCTCGTGATATTTCAGAATTTTTTATTATTATTGTATCTGTTATGATCTGTGATCCATAATATTTGATATTACTATTGTAATTGTTTTAAGAGCACCAAACTACAGCATATAAAACAATAGACTTTGTTTTGGTTTTGTGGTGCTGAGGTTCCAACAATGGTCCTGTCCACGGTAGGCAAATTCTATACTACTCAGCCAAAATCCCAATCCTAAAACATTGAACTTGACCAATAAAAGTTTGTGTGTTCTGACTGTTCTGCCTACCTGCCAGTCCCCAATCTGTTTTTACTTCCTCAGGCCTCCCTATTCCCTGAGATACAACATCAAACATAGGCAAAGTAATGACCTGACAATGGCCTCTAAGTGTTCAAGTGAAAGAAAAAGTCTCACACTTCTCACTTTAAATCCAGAGCTAGGGCTGGGGATGTGGCTCAAGCGGTAGCGCGCTTGCCTGGCATGCGTG